ACACAAATCACAACACAAGAAACTTTAGGCTTAACTTTTCAAAGTAAATAGAAATCTGCCCAAAGCTCTGCTATAGCTGAGAGGTTCGATTATGTGTTTCTTATATCCCAGAAAAATAATTGGATTATTATTGATGTTTAAAAACAGACAGTGGATGGGTGTAAAAATATATATACATATTTACCACAGGTTAAAAAAGAAGTCAGTGGATGGAATAGTTTGTTTATTTTTCAGAAGGTAGGCATAGGCCTCATGGATAGGACCATAGGCTAGGACCATGACCATGTCTTGTCTTAGCCTTTTGATCAGAATTTAAGAGTTAGAGATTTTTATAATATCTCTTGAAAACCCCCACTACCACCATCTCCTAGCACCTTCATGCACTGGTTTTATTTGGTACGTCTCTTCCCTAAAACGATGAAGTCAAAAAGACAAACTCATAGTCTTGTGAGTTTTGACACACATATAAAGCATCTATGTAAGTTACTTATTCTAAACCCTGCCATAGGAAGCCAAGGATAGAAGTATTATAGAGTACAAAAGAATACAAAAGAGACTCCATCTGAAATATAATTGAATGAGAACACTTACTAAATCTTAAAAAAAGACAAAGAAAACACAAAGACTCAGACACATCATCCAAATGAGGGAGGCCTTTAGCACAAGGTCAAAGTGGCCTAGGTGGATTCACAATTGGGAAGGTAGATGAAAAGGAAGCTGTCACAAATTCATGATTGGTGGCAGATCAATACTTCGCAGTTACAGGTGGAACTGCAGAAGCAGGAACAGGGCCCTGGTTGATGGATGAAGGATTTACAAGATTGGTTCAGGGACTTCTGACTATGGCAGTCAGGGGGGGCTAGACTGTTAGGGCATGACTATGTGACTCCTTACTGTAGCCAATACAGTGACCTCCATCAAGGACATACCTAGGCAAGTCTCTGAGAGAGACTGCCCTCCCTAGGCTGGCTAGAGAGGGGTGGAGGTAATCTAGTTTCCAAGGCACTCTGCCTGAGGGCAAGTTATTCTACTTTCTTGGTTAATGATTAGAAAGCATTCAACAGAAGCTTCATCTATGTGTGTCTTCGGCAAATGGATTTTGGGCTGTTACTGCCACCCATAACCTTTTGCAAACTGAGGTGCTCAGAATTTAGGTTCCAATACAGA